GGGTCCATTACCTATGACTCGAAGACGAAACCAATATATTCTAGTAATTAACTGCAATTTTACTAAATATACTATGATTTTTCCCCTTAAACGTGCTACTTCAGCTAATATTATTAATGTTTTGGAAAATTCAGTTTTTCTAGTTCATGGCATTCCCCAAACTATTATAATGGACAACGCGGTTCAATTTCAGTCGCGAGAATTCCACTCATTCTTAAATTCTTATAACGTTCCTTGTATTTTTCACACAGCTTTATATTGTCCTCAGGTTAATCCTACGGAGAAGTTTAATAGTACAATTATTACAGCTCTAGCATCTCTAGTAGGAGACGATCATAGATCCTGGGACAACCATCTTGCTAAGATTCAGTACGCAATGAACAGCGCTACAAATGTAGCTACTGGCTTTACTCCAAACTTTTTAGTCTTTGGTAGGGAAACAATACCTTGTGGTTCCTTCTATACTCCAACTCATAACCTCGAGGAATTGATATTTATGCCTCGTGATATTTACGCGTCTAATGCTGGTCTCCTCTCATCTATTTTTCACAAAGTTCAAACTAAACTTCACATAGCTCACGCTAAAAATAGCGCTCGCTATGATCTTCGCCGGTCTTTTAAAGAATTTAATGTGGGAGACACTGTTTGGCGTAAAAACCATGTTTTAAGCAATGCCGGCGCATACTTTAATGCTAAACTTGCCCCTAAGTTCATCAAGTGCAAAGTGATAGCTAAACTGTCACCACTAGTCTATGTGCTTGAAGACCCTAATGGAGTTAGAGGCAAGTGGCACATCAAAGATGTAAAATCATAATTTTTTTTTTTAACTTTTATTAACTGTATATATGTATAAATATCACCATCATTCTCACCTTATTATTCCTTTGTTTGGTGATCCAGTGTTCTTCAACACATCTTGCTTTAGGACCTCGAATTTTCGTTGGTTAATCTTCACTTTTTTTTATTTCAGACACATCTCGTTAGTGATGTTACTGATCTCTGGCTTTGAGCCCTACCGCTCTGGCCGTTCTTAATCTTTACTTAAGTCATAGCGGCTAAAGCTTGCTTAAGATTAATTTCTTTAACTTTATCTTCACTCAGGAGCGGATGACAACTCCTTAAATAAGCCTGGATGTCCTTTCGAATGTTTTTTTCCACGCAGGAGCGGATGACTACTCCTTAAATAAGCCTGAATGTCCTTTCGAAAACACACTTTTAGAGTGGTAGTCATTGAATGTGAACTCCACCCTTACCTGAATGCAGATGATGAATGTAAGTGATAGTATATCTGATATTGCCTGGTGATGTCTGTTACTGCAAAGCTGTGTTTTTATGGTTTATTTTGGAATGTACATCTCAAAATTTTTGCTGAGTCAAAAATTTTCCAGGGTCGGGGGGAAAATGTAGTGTTATGCTTACATACATACTTACATATCATTTTACACTATTTTATTTTTATTTTTCCATTCTGTTTTTGATTTTCTACATTCACCTCAAAACTGGATATTTTGCATCACCTTTATTTCCATAGGATCCTGTAATATTTTTAATTCATAAGAACACAATAACAAATCATTTTCACTTCGTATTTTCACGTTATCAGCACTTTTTAAATCGGTGTCAATGGAGTCTACCTTTTTCGATCTTTTATTTAGTTCTCCGTAACTCTGCAATTTCGGGTTTCGTGCGCGCTCTTGCGCTACCTTTTTTCCTATATAAATAATATCTCATTTTTCACTTAAATCTTGCCGTTTCTGTATTACGAGCTTAAAACCAAAATTTGACATGTTTTGACATCGTTGTTTATCTGGTTGTCGTGGCAATTTTTATTCAAATATTGTTACCGGCCTGATGTTTTTACTTCAAAAATACTCTTTTCTTCTTGGCCATTTACAAAAATTTGCTTTTAATTTAAATAATTTCAAATAATTTCTCGTTCTTATCCCAGATCCGTCAAAAAGTATAAAAGCCGAAGAATCGGCCGATGGAGGTCCTCACTTCAGCTTTGATACGAGAAGCACCTCTTAAAGGCTTTATCCGCACTGCCTCGGGATCTTGCAAGCCTTCTCCTGAAGTCGTCGCCTAGCCACGCCTACGCCTCCACCTATTAGTGCCCGCGCTATCTTCGGCCGCTGAGCGTGCTTGTCTCAAGCGCTGCGTGTTCCTACTCCAGACGCTGCGTGTCTACTCCGGACGCTGTGTGTGTCTACTCCGGACGTTGTGTTTGCCTACTTCAAGCGCCACGTGTACCTACTCCAGACGCTGCGTGTCTACTCCGGGTGCTGCGTGTATCTGCTCCGGGCGTTGCGTGTGCCTACTCCAAGCGCTGCGTGTACCTTCTCCAGACGCTGCATGTGCTTTCTCCAGATTCTGCGTGTACCTAGAGCAGGCGCTGTGCACCTATCATAGGCATAGCCTGTGCATACTTCGTTGCAGTATCTTTATTTTTGTTATTTTTTTTAATAATATTGTAAATCACTATCATCATTACAGCCCATCATCACCTTCATACCTTTTTTTATAAAAGAAACTGTAAATCTTTTCAAATTTTTAAATAATTTATTTTATTTTTGGTTGTTTTGTTGTAGTTAGGTTAGGTTATTTAGTTTTTAATTGTCGCTTTACGACAGATCCCAGTAGAGAAGGGAGCGACTTCTGGTTGAGAGCCTCTTGAAACTGTCGGGCGAGCACAGTGTGACACACCACGAACCCCTTCAGCCAGTAGTGATGCAGCCCGTCGAGTCCCGGACTTTTCCAGTTCGGGGCCCTACGGACCGCCTCAGCTACGTCATTCGGTGTTATAATGACGGGGTTCATGGGCGTAATACTCGCACACTGACTCGCCACAACTTCCGTCCAAGGGCCCTCGCTGTGGTTTACGGGCTTTGACCACAGGCCGCACCAGAATGCTACATTGTCGGCCTGATTCGGTGCTGGGCCCGTTCCACTTACCATTGTTCGCTCCAATGATTCATAGAGCCTCTTCTGATCACTCTGGAAGAGACGATTCTGGTTGAACCGTGTCGATCTCTCGGTATATCAATCTTGCTTTTCCTAAGCAGCGATTCTCTGCTACAGATCATCTATGCGCTCCATCAGTTTTTGCGTTATATCCGGCTGGAACAAACTGACAAATGTCTCAGCAAACGCCATCCTGACGGTGCGCACAATTCTTGGCCTGTTATTGCCTGACCTGAAGCATATCAGTCTGCCGATGAGAGCTCTAGCCTTTGCGATACGTTCCTCAATTCTTCTTCTCCATGCTGGGATAGCGCTACTTTGGCCAGTAGCGCGTCCAGCCGTAAAAACCTTGGCGCCTATGATACGGCAGACTGCCAGTGTGGTGCCAAAAAGACTTGAGTCCGTCTCGCAAAGGTCCAGGCTGGCTCCCAAATAGGTTACCAGCATTGGGTTCAGAGCCCTCACAACAGCCCGATTCCCCTTGCTTAGGGCTATGCGGGGAAGTCGCGGTCGATTTTTGAGAGGCGTACTGCGCGTTTCCACAATCGCCTCTTCCAATGTACTCCTCATATGCTCTAATTCCAGTTCCTGGGCGACTGTTCCATCATCGTTTGAATCAACCACAACTGGGGTACTCACGGCGGCATCCACTTTTGCGGGTTGCTCTACAATTTGTGGCGCCGCATCCTCAGCCGTAGCATTTTCATCCGATGAGGGAACAGCCTCACGTCGTAGCCGTTCGAGATCGGCGACATCAAATGTATTTGAGCGCAAGATATACCGAACTCGGTCTGCCAGGTTCTGCTCTGTGACGGTTAAAGATGGCTGCAGCTCAGCAAAAAGACGATGCATCCTAGCCCGATACGCCAAACATCTAGTTTCTTCCCCTTTTGCCCTAAAGTATGCCCGCAGTGCGTTTGCGTTCATTGTTTGTGACCAACAATGCGACGTGCTCCACCAGCGGCGGGTGCCGCTTGCTGAGTCCGAGAAGACCCAGCCGACACCAAGCCTTCTGGTGGGGATGATGGATGCGCAGGGCTGCTAGGTGACCATGCAGCTCCTCGCGCTCGGCTGGCGGCCCGCATGCTGCCACGTCCAGCGCCAGCTCCAGACGCGCCCCGGCGTCCCCCAGGCAGCGGCCCTGTGCGCGTTTCTCTTTGTGCCATCATCCATTTTATGGACGCCAAATAACGGGAGACGCCCAAGCCCGGCACCGTTTCGTGGTTCGGTCATATGCACAAACGGACCTTTGCACCCACAAATTTGCCTAGGCACGGCGCTCACACCTCTTGGCAGGGTGCTGACTGACTGCGCCGACGTAGCAGTTTTGTCACATAACTGTTAAGTCAGCGGGCGATGGGTTCGTCACTTCCCTACGCCTTTATTATTATTATTACTATAACTTGTTAACATATTCATCATTATCATTACAGCCCACTAAAGTCCAATGCCGAAAATAGGCGTCCCCTACAAATTGACTCATTATTTGCCATGATTGCCACGCTTTGCAGATGGGTTGGCAACCGTAGTTTTTTTTTGTTTTTTTTTTAGTAGTTGGAAGATGCTGTTACAGATAATAATAATATTCTATACATTTTATATGTGTTTCATTTCTTTTAGATTTTGTGTTTTTAAATTTTCTTTTCCATTTAATCGATGGCAAATAATTGAATGATTAAAGACACTATTATTATTCAATTACTATATCGATTAAGTTCAATTAGCTACTTCTGCTAGTGGCTCAAAGGTGTGTGACGTGTACGTCCTGTAGGTACCGTAGCCGACACAGGGAAACAAATCAGAAAATGAGCAGCAGCGTTTTCCTAATAATAAATAATAATAAAAAAAAATCGTTTGGTAACCCGCCTATTAAGCGTGGTAACTATAGTGAATAGATTGCCGCATAAGCGGGATCTATGAGCAGCATTTTTACTCAGCAGTGGACTTTTGAAAGTCTTGAACGGAAGCGGTAGTGTCTTAAGCCTTGGACGAATTTTTGTTTTAAGTCGAAGTTAATAGTTTGAAAATATTTAGATCACCTGAAAGTAATCTAGACCAAGCTTGTTCGAGCGCCCTCGTTTGCAGTATACGACGGTGGCTGCTATGAAGATGAACAACAGTGCCGAAAGCCACGCCGCTCCAATAAGAATGCCAACAGTCATCGATTGCGCTGCAAGAGCTGGATACAGAGTTACAATCATGCATGAAAATATTTTAAAATTATTACATTTACCGGTTTTATTTTCCAAATAAACAACCTAATCTAAAGTTAAATTATACAATTAAACTAAAAATATATTTAAGCCAGATAAATAAGTAGTGGATTGTCGACATAATTCGTTTGAACGAGTAACTAAAAGACGTATTTCAGTCGAATAGTTCATAGTTAATATTATTATGTATATTTTATTTATATTTTATTTTACGTAGTAGAGCTACGCTGTAGCTATAAGCCGCAAGATTGGATTGGCTCGACCAGGGATCGACCATGTTCTCAAAGAAGAATCCTATGTTGAGTGTATAAAACCAAAGACCCTTTTTACTGGTAATGAGGCAGTCCATCTTAGTCCTCAGGGGTGGCCATGTGTAATCAATATCTATTTTTATATAAAATAAACATGAAAAACGAGCACACATCTACATTAATACTCAATTAAGAATCAAAATTCAGATGCGTTGTCACCCCTGAGGACTAAGATGGAATGCCTCATTTCTAATACAAAGGATCTCCAGTTCTCTACACCAACCATACGAAACGAAACAGCATTAAGCTGGTATTTTGTACGAGCGTGGTCCTTCTCCGGTCGAGTCGATCCATCATGCTACAACCATAACATAGCTGCAGTTGAACTTGTAGATGTCTATGGGTCAAAGTATCCAACATTAGGTGGACTGTGTGCTCGTTTTTCACTGTTCAATCTATATATATCATGTAATAACAAATACAGGTAAAAATAATATAATCCAATTTATTAACATGAAAATAAATTAAAAATATTTTAAGGAGAGTGTTAAAAAATTCCTATATGTACTAATTGCTACTCACGTGGTAAGAAGCCATGGCGATTGCTGTACGCTTTGCCACTTGCTGTACAGGCGACCAGCGTCACGTTGAACAGGCCCTCGCCGGTCACTTGGTCGTAAACCACTTCAGTTGCATTCTAATAACATTATAAATTAAATTACGTAATAAATTTTGGCTTATAATGATAATGACCTTTAAAGATTCAATTTCCTAATATTGTGTTTTCTCACTCTAAGCTTAGAATATACATTATTTCCACCCACATACCCTATGGTTCTACAATTTACAATCTTTATCAAGTTAAAAGAAACTAAAAATGTTAATTGCTTGGTGAATGAGTTTTAAAATAATCAATTTTTTTTTCATTTTCATCATTATTATAGAGAGGCGAACTAGAATTGATTTAAATTATTATTTGTTGAAAAATATAATTGTGAAAAATTACCCTCATCGAAAAAAAATTGCAGATAATAAAGAAGTGAAGTCGGCAATTTCCGCCTATTTAGAGGTCTTGGAAAAACATATTTTTCAAATTTGAACGAAAAATTATTTCATGTTTAATTTCACTCCCTTTATTTTTCATTCCGCAAATTTTATTGACCTTTCGTATTTATACTTACCCCGGGTAGAACATTATTGTATACTGTGTCAGCATACAGGGTAGTATTATAACGGGTTGGAGTGACTCGGGGCCGCTTCCAAGTGACATGCACGCTCCAGCCAAGACCACTTGGTGATTGGACGACTTCGATAGATATATTGCTAATCTTCTCCGGTACTGGGAAAACAGGTAATAACACGTAGAATCTCAAAAATATACAATAATGATCTGTGTTTCGTATCTAACCATTGAGCTCTGTTTGGATAATACAGCGTTTTAATCTCTTTACATTCTTCGTGTTATGATTACACTACTCGTAAGTAGGATTTTCACTGTACAATAGTAGAAAAGATTTTTTATAGCTGGCCAAGATTTTCATTGTTAAACTATTTACAATCGGGATTAAAAGTTCTTTTAATTCCCTTGACAAATATCACAATCCTTTAGAATGAACGGTATTCCTTTTTTGATTCCGTACTTATATAATATCGTTTCATCATAGTTATACACAGCTACTCTTTCGGACTGGATTTTACCCCGACTGGTCCAAACGCTGTTAACTCTTATTAACTCTAATTAACTTCAGGTCACTGATATACAGCAGGAAAAGGGGTTGGGAGAGAACGGACCCCTAAGGAATTTCAGCATTAATTGTCATAGGCTCGAAAAAGCCGCCCTTTACGACTCACGGAGACCGTTCACTCAGAATGTCCTTCACCTAGCGGATCAGACCAGGAGAACAGTACGCTGTAAATTTTCCTAAAAGGCAAGCACGCGAGACCCTGTCAAAGGCTTTTGAGACATCAATGAAATCAATAGCTTTCCCATTCTTCTCTAGAACTTCCCTCTATATATGTCTCCATAAATATCATTGACATATAACCCCTAACAAATCCATGAAAAGGCACATTAGTTTAACAATGGATATGTTCATAATATATAACTCATGGGACAGTGAAATGCTTAAAATTATAAGAAATATGCTAGTGGAATATTTATTTAAAAGTGTATTTAATACCGTGCGCTTATACTTTTTACCCACTTACGTGGAGCACATCCATCAATCTCGTAACATTCAGGAGTCCGATACGCCACCTGGGTGACGCCGTATTTGCCGGTGAAGTTGAACGTGCAGTCGTCACCCAGTGGCAGCTCGTAGATCACCACAGAATTCTTGTCATCTGGCTGGAAATTAGTTTCCTTGTAATTTCAATAGTTTTACAAGTAATTTAATAGTAGATGATTTACAAGTAAGTAATAGTAGATGAAAACTAGCTTTATTTAATCAGCTTGGCGTCAGGCTATAGCTTGATAAAGCCGGATTTAAGCTAAGTTGGAGACTTGTTTCATTAGCCATTTCGTTCCCTTGTTAATTTTTATAAAACATATTTCTCTTTCTTTCTTTAACACTTTCAAGCTCAAAAATTATACGTGTGGTGACAACATAAGAAAATCCATCATCCTATCTCATTTCACGAGTCTCTTTATCTCTTTTTTTTATAACGTTACCCCTACACTAGGACTGTCTCGTATAGTAAGAGACTTTTAAGAGAGTACATCTTATGACCTCCGATTTTATATATCACGGTATAACTTTCTTGCATTATTGTAAGAAATATTTATTTCATTTAAGTTGCTTTATAGTTTATAATTAAGTTATATCGTTCTTAGGAAATATAAAAAGAAAGCAAGAGAAAAGCTTTAAGCTTAAAACCTGGATTCGAAATGTTCTTTTTTAAATTTGAATTTGAATTGAAACAGATTTAAAACGATTTTCAATATTAGTAAAATGTCTAATTTTATATCATACATTGTACACATACCTGTATACTCTTTCTAAAGTAATTTCCCGGAGTTGCTTTTTTACACTGGTTAAAAACATCAAAACAAGAGTCAGCCTCTGAAACAATTAATATAGGTATTGTTAATGATGATGACTAGAGACCGGATTATATAAATATTACATATGCATTTGTATATTTAGCCCCTCTTCATCATTAGTTGCATATTTTAGAAAAAAATTTAAATCATGCACATTTCGCTCGATCTCCTAGCTGTGATAAGCACTTACTTCGCCAACATAAAACGCTTCAAACTCGTGGATTGGCGTTGAATGCATCTATTCAGCTTATGTAAAAAATTCGTCTTATGAACTCCTCATTCTTAGAGCTATTCCCGAGTAAACTCAAAGAAAAAAATTCAAAACATACTGAGCAAAAACCGAGGGTGAACCCTTATGCCAAATCGATAGCTCCATCAACGGGACGGGTGAAATTTTGGCATGGCAAACATGGCTCTCAAATTTAAATTCTACCCAGTTACCTTAGTAGATATAGAATGGTTCTTTTCCGCTTACAAACATGTATTAAGCGATCGTTAACACAATTTGTCCGCAGAACATTTAGGACAGTACTTAGTCGTATACATTTTTAAAGTTGTGAATTAATTTTGTACTTGATATGTTCGCAAATACCATTGTTATCGTTAAGAAATAATAGCTTTTAAAAATGAAAAACATTTCAAAATACTGCTTTTTTATTATTTCCTTTCGCATATTTTGGCACTTTTTATGGAATTTCGTGCATATTTTAACTTTTTTCTCTCATATTTGCATATTTTGGGCTTTTTATATAGCATATAATTCGGTCTTTAATGATGAAATATGGGGAGGAAATATTTTTCAAGTTTTTCTTAATTTGGCGTCAAGGAAAAAAGGGAATATCTCCAGCCCGGCATGTTGTTTGGCTTGAAGTTACTCGAGGAGCAACCAAAGTTCCATGAAGTTGTACAACGCTTTTTTTTACCGTTCGGAAAAAATAAGGTGTAATAGGTGAATGAAGTAGAAACCTTACCTTGCTAAGCTCAGTCATGATTTCGGTTATCCCTATCGTCATTTTATATAAATATGTTTAAAAAAATATAAAACAAAGTTGGTGGCCTTTTTTAAATTATTTATTACTGGTCAATCATTTCATGATGTTTATTTATTGCTTACTCTGTTATCTTTAATAGGGTATATTTTGAATCTACAATAGCTTATAATTCCGTAGCTAGCTGGTTTAGATCCAGCTCGAAGGACTAAATGGTTGAGTTATAACCAAACAGTTTGCCAATTATATGCTATGCTATGATTAGAATATTAAACATTAAGTTAATAATATGTCAAAATATTTATTATATAAACCTTAGGCTATCGCAAAATGATAAATGCTAATTCTAAACGTGAGTTGCGGGCGGTAATTCTAGAAAAACATGAAAAGTTTAATGAAAAGCGATTTTGAGAGATTTGAGAGAATGTATGGAGTTAACTCATACCTTAGTATTCACGTAGTTAAATATTCCAAATAAGAAACCTAACTAACTTAACTTTAAGTATCATAATTTATATACTTTTCATCAAACTGCGCTAAATTACAAGTTTTTATTATATCAAGTAGTTTTAGAAAACACCGCTGAAAGACAAACCAAAGATATTCCACAGTTGTTCTATTTTCTCAATTTTGACACATTACACTAAAAATAAGTATTTACTATAAATTTATCAGAGCCTCGATAGGAAAGAGTTGGGAATGCTGTCTCTTGTTTGCTTATTTTTTATTCCTTTTCTCTTTCCAATCGATACCAACAGTGTAAGTTGCACTAAACTTTACTTACTGATAAACAGGTTACGAAATACATTACCATCAGTTACATTCCACGTAAACTCTGCTGCTATTTCGCGACTGCCATTCTTGTACTTATGGGTTAATATTTCAGTTTTGATTTCGTATTTCATTGGTTCTGGACTTTTCCATTCTTTGACTTCTGGTCCTTGCAGCCAAAGTGAAGGACTACCGTCTTTGTTAAGCGCCGTGGTCCAAAATGTATAATTTCTTGGAGGGTATGTGTATATTTTCCCTATTTTTTCATAACCTTCCATTAGAATATAGTTTATCTGTAAAAATAAATGTAAAATTTTGATTAAGCCGTGTTGTGGTGGCGTGAGAGAAACCATCATGTAATGAGCACATTATTTTCGTTATATTCGTTGTAATTGAGTTAAGAAATTAAAAAGAAGAAAAGAAAAAAGGTTTTTTTTTAAGAATTTAAAAAAATATTTGTTTCATTACTCATATTTTATGAATGTTTTAAGACTCAGGCATTTACTAAGGCTCATTTTTAGTCACCATATTTATATAGTCATGATGGATTTATATATATGCAGCAAAATTTAAAAAAAATTAAAATACAAAACATCACCAAACACAATCAATAAATCCTATTTTATTATATGAACTTAAGTATGAAATTATATAGATGTTTGCAATTACAAGTCCTATTTTACGGCATGCTTGACGGTGAAGGAAAGCATCGTGCTGAAACCTGGATATCTCAGGAATATATAACGATGACATGACAATTCTGCCAACAAGCGCTGGAGCAGAGCAGTGGCCTAAATACACCATAACCCTCTCCGAAAAGAAATGAGAGGAAGCGTGAGCATCAGCAATGAGACGTATCCAGCCTATAAAATATCTTTTTTACTTTTTATGTATACCGTATGTTCCATTTTCACATCGGTACAAAACCGTGAATTTCAAGATGTAGTTTTAATACATATAAGACAATAAGGCTGAAAGTAACAATTTACAAAATTATCACTACTGGCTGCACGCTTCCACTTCCTGTAAGAATTACGACGAAATGAATCCGCGATTACGATGCTCTAGTGCGCGCGCAAGCTTCTTATACCTTCGAAATAATATATTTCATTATCTTAAATCTTAAAATTATTATTGGCCATTAGATCTTTTTCTTGTAACTTTCAATTAACACTATCATCTGTTCTAGTGATTGAACATAATTAATAAGACGAGGCTTCAGAATGCGAGCCACCACGAAAAACAGAACATAACACTCAAAATCTATTTAACTTTAGGGCTATAAAATAGAACTCGAAAGAAGTATCTCGAATTACCAAAATCTTTGAAAATTGTTGTAGTTTTCTATTTACTTACGTAACTGCTGTTATCGTCCTGTGGTACGAGGACCACTAGTTTCCAGCTCTTAGATAGAGTTAACGCAAATGTAGCTCTTTTTAGCGTCTGACATTTAATTGTTAATTTTGGTGGCCGCGTCGAGTTGTTGCGATGTGGACCTTAAAGGCAAAAACGGATGTTAATTTCTATTTTGAAAAACAATACCCTATTTTTGTAACACGGCAGTGTGGTGGTGATGTAAGAGTCATTAATAATGACGAAATAGGATAATGACTCATTATCCTATTTCGTCCCGTGAGTATTAAAAGACATTGGGAGAAATTCCATAGGTATTTAGATCCTTCTTGCTTCTAATAGAAAGTGTGATACATAACCATTTCGTTTCAAACCTGCGGTAGGATACAACATCAAATTGCAAGAATGATAGTAGCATCTCATCTCTACGAAGGAAGTGGTTCTTGTCCAGTATCTAATGGACTTTTAGTGACTGATAATTTGAAGTATATATTTTTTCACTATTCAAATATAGGTATTAGTAATATTTTGGTATTGCAATTTAAATGCAAAAATGTTATGCCATTTTAGCTGACTTCAAAAAAGGGAAGAGAGTCTCAATTAAACTATTTGTTTTGATGTATCTTTGTCTATAGTCAACAAAACGTTGATTCTAATAATTATTTTTGTTAATTTCCTGCTAAGAAAATTGAAAATTTTTAAAAATTGAGAAGTTATTGTTTTTACCCCGTTTTTCGAAAATAGAGTTTAAGTCATCAAATCTTGACGTTTTAAGGTTACAGGAAGCCACGCTGACAATTTTCTATGGTGTCTGTATTTCTGTATGTCTGTATGTGTGTATGTGTGTGTATGTGTGTATGTGTGTGTGTGTGTGTGTGTGTGTGTGTGTGTGTGTGTGTGTGTGTGTGTGTGTGTGTGTGTGTGTGTGTGTGTGTGTGTGTGTGTGTGTGTGTGTGCGTGCGTGCGTGCATGCGTGCGTGCGTGCGTGCCTGCGTGCGTGGGCGTGTGTGTGTGTGTGTGTGTGTGTGTGTGTGTGTGTGTGTGTGTGTGTATGTGTGTGTGTGTGTTGTTGTGCTGTGTGTGTGTGTGTGTGTGTATATGTGTGTGTGTGTGTGTCTGTGTGTGTGTGTGTGTGTGTGTGTGCTGTGTGTGTGTGTGTGTGTGTGTGTGTGTGTGTGCGTGCGCGTGCGTTTGTGTGTGTGTGTGTGCGCGTGTGTGTGTGTGCGTGTGTGCGTGCGCGCGCGCGCGTTTGTGTGTGTGCGTGCATGCGTGCGAGCGTGCGTGGCTGCGTGCGTGCGCGCGCGTGTGTGTATGTACTGAACGGCTTGAACGAGCTAAATGAACTAAGCTGATGAAAATGTTTCATCAAACTTAGACTTCCTACGAATTATAACTAATTCTACCGTTTTTTATTTATTAAAAAAATTAAAAAACTGTTTTTTTTTAAATAACTTTAAAAAAGATTTACCTATCGATTCCAAAAACTAATAAGCTTTTAACTCTGAAAAACCACGTCGATCACCGACGGTTCGGTCAAAATCGCTTGATTCGTTCGTGAGATATCGTTAACGAAAAATTTTCAAAACATTGAATTTTTTAAATTACTCCGATATTTCATATTCAACGTCATATATTTTGGTGAAATTTGGAGCGCTTTGAATTTGAAATTAGCGGGAAGCTCCAGAGATGACCTTCAGGGTCAACCAATTTTTGAATAGGTAGTCAGGAGTTTTTAACTGCATCTTACGAGATGAGAGAACTCCAAGGGCGTGGAGCAGAAACATTACAATCTTGTTTCACAAGAAAGGTGACAAGACTATGCCGAAAAATTATCGACCTATCTCGCTTCTGAGACACGTCCATAAGTTGTTTTCGAGGGCCACAAAATCATCACAAATAGACTCGCGCGAAGACTCGACGACTTTCAACCTGCGTAACAGGCTTGGTTTCGATGACGATTTGGCACTATAGACCACATTCACACAGTGCGGAAAATAATACAAAAGACAACAGAATAATTATAATCAGCCCCTGTGTCTTACATTTGTGGACTATGAGAAAGCCTTTGACTCTATTGAAACTTGGGCTGTCCTGGATTCTTTGCAGCGGTGCCAAATTGACTGGCGGTAGATCGAAGTGCTGAGATGCCTTTACAACACCAGTACGTTGTCCGTCTAAGTACAGGACAGTCAAACAAAAACCAATCCAGTTGCATCGCGGAGTGAGACAGGAGGATGTTATATCCCCTCAACTGTTTACAAATGCACTGGAAGATGTTTTTAAGACATTAGACTGGAAAGGACGCGGTATTTACGTAAACGGTGAGTACATCTCACACTTACGCTTTGCTGATGATATCGTCGTCATGGCAGAATCGCTGCAGGAACTTCAGGACATGCTCAACAGACTAAATGAATCCTCCCAACGATCTGTGCATGAATCTGAAGAAGACAAAAGTTATGTTCAACGATCAAGTCATATCAGTTCCAATTACTATTAATTAAATTCTCGAAGTTATCCAAGAATATATTTACCTCGGGCACATATTGCAACTAGGTAAGAACAACTTCGATAAGGAAGCCGATCGGAGGATTCACTTAGGCTGGGCAGCATTTAGAATGCTCTGTCGGGTTTTCTCGTCGCCCATACCGCAAAGTCTGAAGACAAAAGTTTACAACCAGTGCGTTCTCACTATGCTGCCCAAACGGTGACACTAACGATACGGCTGCTCAAAAAGCTCAGTCGCTCAGCGAGCAATATCGATTCGTAGACAAAATTCGAAATGAAGAAATTCGCTAAAGAATCAAGGTTACTGACATAGCCTTCCGTGTTTGTGAGCTGAAGTGGTAATGGGCAGGTCATGTCTGTCGCAGAAGTGACAGCCGGTGGAGTAGACATGTTATGGAGTGGAGACCGCGTCTAGGCAAACGTAGTGTGGGACGCCCCCTGACCAGATGGAGCAACGATCTGCGCAAGGTGACTAGTAACAGAAACAGGATGCGTGTAGCCGAAGAGGCCTATGTCGAGCAGTGGACTGCCGCAGGCTGATGATGATGATGAGGTAATCAGGGGTATACTAAAAATATTCAAGTTATCTTAAGCTTGTGATATTAATCTACTCAAAAAGGTCTCAAAGTTAAACTTTTAATAAAAAGCAAAAGCTACTCTGACTTGGGATCGACTGCTGAAGCTATAATGTGAAAATGATTTTATTCTATTTAGTAAATTGAAGTCGGCGTTTTAATAGAACATAAGTAACCAAACGAGCACACATTACACTTGATGGTAAGTGAATGATGTGGCTCATAAACGTCTATACTCGTAAGTCGATTTAGAATCAAAACATAGAAGCGCTGTCACCTTTGAGGACTGAGATAAAATGCCTCGTTCCCAGAAAAAAAGACTTCCGGTTTTTTACACTCACGATATGAGACGCACAGCAGCATTATTTGCCAGTTTATGCTTGAATTCTGTGAGAGCGTTGTCCTTCCCCGATCGAGCCGATTTATTCGTTCTGCAACCATAACAATATAACTGCATCGTGGCTCGTTCACGTTCGAAACATTTAATTTTTATTTAAAGTTTCATTTTATAATGTTCATAGTCTATTGGATTTTTACACAAATAGTTTCTAATTATAAGAATAATCAATAGAATATTTCTACAATTACCATAGTGAAATTTTAAAGCTTGCTTTTAACCTTCGAGGTGGACTCCAGATTCAAACGGCTACCATCATATTTCGTAATGCGTGCTAAGGAGTGGAATAATTTGTTGGGTAAGTCAACAAGTGAATAGGCCTTTGTCACGACGACACATATTACCATTTTGGGAATCAATGGCTTCATCAGCGCTTACCTCCAGGTGTTAAACGTTGGCTTATAATAAGTAAAAAAAATGTAGTATTTAAAAATAACGTACTTTAACATACCTAGCCCGTTAGATAAAAGTGGTTATAATTGATTTTTTTTATAGAATATTAACAATGCTAAAACGTTACTAATATTCCCCTTAACCACTCGTGGTAAGCTTAAATTGCTTGTGTTACGAGTGGTTCACGCCAGTAGTCGAATGGCAGATTCGAACCCACGACCTTTATGAGTTCGGGGCTGGCTTGCGCTAAGGCTTTTAAATAAAAAAAAAACGGTCCGCGCCCTGCCATTAGGCTACCGTCGCTTCAAAAAAAAATGATAGTGTCCGTGTAACAGCATTGCTGAACTTAATATGAACTGCCTGCTAACACAGGTCTTTCCCTAGTAATTTGAAACTTTTTTAGAAGACAGACTCGTGATCGGGGATTTTCTTACACCGTCACCACACTACAATACTTCTGCAAGTGGGTGTTTCACACTCCTCGGAGAGTACGCACATCAAAAAAAGTTTGTGATCACTAACAAAAGCTGATATATTTTTAAAATTTAACTTAATTAAGAAAAAGTGTATACGTTATATTATCTTTTTTTAAATAGAATTACATTGTTTGAAATTGAAAAATAAAACTATTTTATTTTTAACAACAAAAAATTAGTATTTCAATTCTAATGTAATTGTAATAGAAATTTGATGGAAGGAAAAAGATTGTTTAACCAAACGTATAATTTATGGCCCCTGGCGGAACTCAGTCGGAGATCCTCAAGGACATGCTGAGGATTAAGTTATCCAGCATTTCTGGCGGTAACCAGTCCCATTCTTGAATAGCGGCTTTCCTGATCACTTGCACTGTCTGGGAAAGTGACTGACGGTTCAAAACGGCTTGCTTAAGAACATCCTACGCGTGCTCTATTGGGTTTAAGTCAGGCGAGCCAGCAGGCTATAATATTCTCAGAGAACAGTATTGAATCGTTGAGCTCGATGTGCGGGCGCATTACCATCGACCATTATGAATTGTGCCCATAGTTTATTGGAATAGTCTGACAATTCCATCAACAGTAACTGTTTTGTAGTTATCTGCCGTCATAGAGCGTTGATACGGGATCAAACGCGTTCCAGCTCCAGTCACAATTCCACCTCGAAAGGACACCGATTTCCCGCCTTGCTGAATAGTTTCAGTGGCATTTCTTTGTATTTCAGTTTCCAGGTCTTCTCTAGACACGGGAACGTCGGTTATCTGGATGAGTACTGATTCGGGATTCGTTAACGAAGAGACAGTTTTTCCAAATGTTTTCTTTCCGATTTTTTCGTTTTACCGGAGCCTAGCCTACTGCAATCTCCGTCGCTGATGTTGCCGTGAATTCAGTCGTGCTCGCCTAGAGCTGCGTGCTTGTAGAAGTAAGTTCACTGAGGAGTCCGCCGCGCTGCCCCAATGTGTGTTGGCGAACTTCACATGTCTTCAAAATATTTTTTTTCTTATTCCTCAGCTCAAGCTCCTAGTGTAAGCAAATCCAAATGCTCTGGGAACTAACTTCAAGTCCAGAGGCGGCTCGCACTTCTGCTTTTTTTGTAGTGACGTTGATTGTTTAGTTACGGCTGCCAGCAACCTGACATATCTTCTGAGCAGCAGTCAGAACAGTTGGGCGACCACTGCGGGGGCTAGTTTCTCTTGCAACAGGCTACGACACGGGATTGGGATACAGCAACTCTGCGTGTTAATTTTCTCGGGATTATCTTTCGTCCCTCAAAGTTTACCAATTCTAGTTTGTTAAAAAAAAAATATATATATATATATATATATATATATATATATATATATATATATATAAAGTTCATTTCACATGTCTTCGAAATATTTTTTTTCTTATTCCTCAGACATGCAGGTTTCCTCAAGATGTTTTCCTTCACCGCCGAGCACGTGGTATATCAGCACTTAAAATTACAATTAACAATTTCGTTGGTGCCGGCGTATATCGAACCCGGGTTGCTCGCGTTCTGTTATATTCAGAGCGCTAACCATCTGAACTACCACGGCTCTACATATATATATATATATATATATATATGTAGAGCAAATTTCAAATACATAATCACCCTAACGGTGTCCGAACAACTGACTGCTCTTTCAGTGTTGCCACTTTAGCGACTTTGTCGCAAAATCTAACGAGTTTTTTGTTAAGTTGGGGGAGTTTAATTCAATGTTTAGCGACAAAAAATATTCTGGCGACTTTTAGCGACATCTGCACTTACTTAAATTTTTGTTACCATCTGACTACTTTAGGCGTAAGGAATACTATACCCTATCACAAAGGTTCTCTGGATGTCGCTTACCGTGAGTTTGCACTGACGCGATTTTCACAAAAAAAAAACATGTTTAAACTCTGTTTTCTGTCAATGTAGCAAAAAACATTTGCATAGTCAAAGAACATGTAATGAAATATGTTTGACAGTTTATTGTACATTATATACTTTAACTTATTATATCTTTATGACTACAGAAACAAAATGTTTGAAAACAAAGTTATAGAAATATTGTCATGTTGAACATTTTTGTTACCATCTGACTACTTTAGGCGTAAGGAATACTATACCCTATCACAAAGGTTCTCTGGATGTCGCTTACCGTGAGTTTGCACTGACGCGATTTTCACAAAAAAAAAACATGTTTAAACTCTGTTTTCTGTCAATGTAGCAAAAAACATTTGCATAGTCAAAGAACATGTAATGAAATATGTTTGACAGTTTATTGTACATTACATACTTTAATTTATTATATCTTTATAACTACAGAAACAAAATGTGAAAACAAAGTTGTAGAAATATTGTCATGTTGAAAGATAAGTTTGAATATCTGATAAAATTTAACACAGTTTTGTGAGTGCGAACGCCATCATCAACAAAAACATGTTGTTTGATTTATTTTATGTGATTTGTTTCAAAACATTACATGTTGAATGTTTCTCAGTGCAAACGTACTGTTATACAATAATAAACTCATTAAAAAAAAAACTACAACATTAAAAATCACGAATAAAAATAAATCACTTAACGTGTACAATATTGTTATGCTCATTTTGCTTATATATATATATATATATATATATATATATATATAAAAAGAAGAATATTAATGTACGATTGATATACTGTTCTATTTTATCTTTGTTTCGCGTTTTTTTTTAATAAAATTAAATTTAGCGACATTTGGGAACTTTTTTTGTTACTAAATTCATGTATAACTAGGGACTTTTTGACGGCAGTCTACCTACTAAGACCTACGGTAATTCAATGTGGCAGCACTATGCTCTTTATGTAGTCGCGTAAACATAACAATAGTTTGTTATCTTTACGCGACGCAAACGTAGGGCATTCCAGAGCTTGATTGACTGGACAGTAAAAGATTTATTAAAAAAGAGGTATTGTGAGTTGGTACCCTTAAAATAAATTTTCTGAAAGAGCGTAGACGTTCCCCTGGAAACCCTACAAAATTAAACTACTCCTTTAGATAGGAAGGAGTAGAAGAGTTAAATTCGAAAGGAGTAAGATAGCTTATAGAAAGAGAGGGACTGTAGAAAACTTTAAGAAGGTTTTTATTTTGAGACAGGGAGACCTCGACCAGCAAATGTTCAGCAGAATCAACAAAAGGTAGTTGAAAGTAGGATCCACACATGCCACGTCCCCGCAACCCCTATTAGTGCGATCATATCTAATTAGATGAAATTTTAGATTTAAATTTAAGATTAGCTTGAATTTATTTTTATATGGAAAAACAATTAAATTTGTTTTATTCTCTAAAGTTCTTATTTTTATTTTAAAGTAAAGAATCTAAAAAGTAGAAAAATTATAATGTAGTCTACTGTAACAAAAAAGATTTCGGTTTATGAAACTAATCTCAAACTTTTTTGATTTCTATATAATATGTATGTTCTGTGCCCTAGACTATTGGAATTCTTTTAATCTTACCCCCCGACCACACACTCGTTGAGTGGCATAGGAAGTAGCGAGGAAAGGAGGCAGAGACGTAGTGTGGCCACAATACTCTTCATGCCGCACGTCATGCTCTTCGTCATGCCCATCGCTGTTTTGTCGGTTTTTTGGGCGCGAGTCAAAGGACAGGCAATATGAGCGCGAGTGGCTGGCCACACACTCGCGCAAACCGCAGACCGAGTCGAGCGCCCGTTACGGAAGCACGTCACGTATCATTTAAAAAATCATAAATAGTACCTATCATCATCATTCAGCCATATTATCACATGAGTAAATAATATACAGAGAAAAAGTTATCTCGATGACGATTTCTTTTTATGACATTGAAATAATTAGCTATAATAAATATGCATAGATCGCACGCTGCAACAGCTTCAACATCCACTATGTTGCAAACGCGAGTGACCATGTGCGGAGCGTCGCGGTTAATTGCGCGAGTAGAGCAGTGTGTGACAGACAGGGCAACATCGCGACTGCACTAGGAGCACAGCGATGAGCAGCGCGAGGAGCATTGTGTAGCCGAGCCATTAGAGTAATTACATACATACTTTTAATTGTATGGGAGTATAGCGTCATAGTTTTTAATAGTCAAGCAATTATGTAGGTACGTTATTATATATTTTTTAATATTTAACTTTAGTAACTAAGTTATGATATTAGATTATATATATATTTTTTAAAGATGGTGTCAACTACCCAATTGTACTGGCTACCATTAGGTAAAAAATAATCAAAGCACCTAATTATTAGTCTGACTTACTACAAAAATTTAATACAACTTACTTATGAACTTCTTTTGACAGGTGGAGAAAATGTTCTGCAAATAACAAAAAGCAATATTAATAAAAATATAGCGACACTTTTCCTTCCACAGGCCTCGCCTACAGAATGCCTCATGAGGGAGAAATTTGCCATAGTTGCCGCGCTTAGCACTCCGCTTATTTTTTATTTTAAGATATTACAAAAAAGATGCTGCTGTCCATCTCCTGTTTCGGTTTCACTTCGTCGTCCCTTACGACACCTGCGGTATGATAAGGAGTAGTGGACTCTTTTACGCCACCACTATATCTCTCATTGACGTTATAACCAATTTTATAGAAAAGAAACATTAAAATCAATCACAATTGACGAAGATATCGCGTAACATACATAAAAAACGGAAAAGTGACCCCTACAAGCCTACAACCCGGCAACCTGCAACTTCAAGTTTCGTCACCGTCTTAAAAACACCCTCCATTCGCTTCCGAGCATAATGATAGACAAAAAGTAATAAAAATAATAATACGTAGAGCCATGCTGCAGCTATATTAATGGTATAGTTGTAGCACGAATGGGTCGGCTCGACCGGGGAAGGACCACGCTCCCACAGAATACCAGCGAATAATAGCAGCTTAACCCTACTGTGTTTCGTATGGTGAATGTAGAGAACCGGAGACCCTTTTTACCGGAAACGAGGTCCATCTTAAACCTCACGGTTGACAGCGCATCTGCATTTTGAATCGTAATCGAGGATAGATGTAGATGTCTATGGGTCACAGCAACTACTTAACATCAGGTGGACTGTGTGCTCGTTTGTCACCTTTATCCTATAAGAAAAATATATCGTTTACAGTTTTGAGCTACTGCAAGCCAGCTCCTAGGTTTCATGACGTTAATCGCAGCATCGGAATAACGCCTCCTGTAGTGTTGCCCAAATGCAAGAACAAGACGAGACTTAGACAGTCTTGATCTTGGTCTTGCGCCAATACACCTGGTCTTGTTCTTGGTCTTGGTATTGCGCTCTCAGTCTTGTTCTTGGTCTTGGTCTTGCAGCAAGAGTCTCGCAAGTCTCGCAATTACCTATTAGCCTATTGTTATTTATTAAACGTTACTTTAGATCTTAGAACAACTTCACAGATTAGGCACATTTTGAGCTTGAATTAACATAACCATAGAAAGACCAATCAAATTAATAAATGTCTAAACATTTAATGAGAAATTCGAAAAGTCAACTAATACCGGGTGGGGTTTGAACCCACGACCTAAGCGATCCGTGCCGATGCTCTAACCAACTGAGCTGTCTACCAAGTCTCACGGCTACGGGAGTTAGTCTGTTTCTTAATAAACGTTTACATTTAATAAGCTTACATGTGCTAAAACTTAGTCAAAACATATAAAAAACAAATTAATGACATTAACTTGAATGTATTATAAAAAAACATTATCTGTCTAGAAAGAGATTGATAGACCCTTATATGAAATGGAATAAAAGAGTTATACAATTTACCATTTATTTAAATAAAAAAATAAAATACAATACAAATTAAATTACATAACAGTACACAACAGCTTTGACATTACTGTTACTTTATATTACGAGTAATTCTTTTGACCAAGAATTAATACAAAGTAACCATCTGGCTGACTCATCACTTAACCTATTTCTATGTTTTCTAATTACTAATGATGCTTTAGAAAATAATCTCTCAGCAGGTACTGAAGTTGCAGGTATTGAAAGAAAATCACGGGCCATCTTCGATAAAGTCGGATATTCTGTCTCATGCGTCCTCCACCACTCTAAAATGTTTTCCGAACTGGCGGCTCTGGGTTTACTTAGGTACTCCTCCAACTCGTCTATAACTAATCCTTCATGAAAAGATCCAGATCCAGATGACGTCGAGGGACATGCATACAATTTCTCAAAGTCTATTACGTCTTCATCTTCATCATATTCACATACTTTCCTTTCATTTCTTGGTGATTCTAGAGATGTATTCACTGAGTGTAGACTTTTATATTCTTTATAAAGTTCATTAAATTTGCGCAGGCTTTCTGTTTTAATTTGCTTCTCCCATAATGTCATGTCAAAAGTCTGAGTCTTATGCCTTGGGTCTAAAATTAAAGAGGTACAATAAATCCAGTCGCTCTTTTTATAAATATTTAAGCATTTTGTCTCGAGCTGCTTGAAAACCAAGAATGAGCCTTTCATCCACTTCGGATCGATTAGGTTTCTCATCTAATTGTTTTACCATGAATTCAATTTTATCGAGCAAGAGATTGAATGATACAATGACTAGCGGTAATGTAACATATTTTTCTTCACCAAGTTTCGTTGATAGAAGTTAAAAGTTTATTAGAAACTTATGTATTTTTTCGAGTATTTGCCATTCACTATCTGTGATTTGAAAATCATTCAATTCGGTGACCGAAGTGCACAATATGTTAATGCCAGTTCTCACTTTTAAATCAAATCCAATCATATCATGTGTGGAATTCCATCTCGTTGGACAGTCGAGTATGGGGTTCAGATTTGATGACACGCCAGCTTCTTCACGTGCAGACTGAAACTTCCTCTTCAATATCTCACTTCTTATTATTTTACTGGAAATACTGCGTAATTTTGTTATAGCTGTACATGAGTCAGCAATATTTGGTGCATATTCTTCGTCTTCCTCAGTTTTGTCTCATTATCTTCATACTGCTGTTCTTGTCCCTTATTGTCAGTTTCCCTGTGTAATGCTAAGGTCTTTAATAAATCTTGTACACCAAGTTTCTAAATGTGAGCAAAGCACCGGAATTGTTGACGTTATGAATCAAAGTGTGTCAGCTGTTTGTCCAATTCATACATAAATTTGGTATTTGCAGTTGCGTTGTCAACCGTGATACCCTGTATTTTATCAATTATGTCATATTCCAATAAACATTCGTGGAAAATCGTTGCAATATGTTCCCCAGTACGTCGACCGCGTGATGGTATAAAATCAAGGACTACAGATCGATACTTCCATTCGTTGTCTATATAATGAATAGTGACCCCGTAGTAACTCCTACCAGTAATTGACGTCCATCCATTAATGGTAAATGACATTTTAGATGAAAATTGTTGTAGTCGTTTCTTAAGATTCAATTGGAGCTCTTCAAACCGTTCTTTGACCTTACTTGTAAGTGTGGGCCTTTTAGGAAACACCATATTTGGGAAAAATGATCGAAAATATACATGTGTAGCTTCGTCATCGAAAAATGAGAAGGGAAGAGATTTTTTAACCATCCAATCAACTGTACCTGTCGTGATGTTGTCACTGCTATTTTCAGACTGAAATAAAACAGTAAATCATGTGTCTCGCCGATTATAAAAATAATATTAAATGAAAATATGAGTGAATTATAAATACATATTTAACACTATAATCTATATATATAACTACCACTCACTAACTGACTATAACGATTTCTCAGGAACTATAAAACATACAAACTTGAAGTTTGTAAGGTAGGTTCCTTTTATGGCATAGAGATCAGTTAAGAAACGGTTTTGAGAAAATCTATCTCTAAGGGAGTGAAATGAGAGTTGGAAGTTTTTACGAAAGTCCTACGTTTTTGAAGTTAGAGACCCGAAAATCGGCATTAAAGTTATAAGTTTTCAATAACAAAATCCTGAATAAGCTGTTGTACGAAATCCTAACCCTAAGGGGGGTGAAATTGGGGTAAAATGTTTACATGCAAGTCCTATATTTTTAAAGTATATATATGAAGATCGACATTTACTTTATTAGTTTTAAATAATAAATACTTGCATAGTTAAGCTTTACCTATATAGCCTCTTTATACTTAGGTAAGACTAAATCTCATAGGAAATCAGATATTGTACGCGGATGAAGTCGCAGGCGGCCGCTAGTTACATAATATATGTGTTATGTAATTGTGTGATAAGTATATTTTTTCTTACCTGTCCACTTTTTCCGGTGGTTATTAAAAAGCTTGTGATATCTCCACTTAATTTTGGTTTTTCAGGAAGAATTATTTGTGATTCCTTTTTGTGGAAAGATATTAGATGTTTCCTTAAGCCTGAAGTGTTTCTTTTTTTCATTTTTATTTCAACTTTTTTATGTTGGCATAATTTACACAAAGCAATTTGGGATGCATAAATAATGTCGAAAAACTCATCAAATTTACTTTTAGGTCTTTTAGATCTATAACTCCAACTCTCACTACTCCGACTAGAACTAGTCGACTCTTCGTCACTCATGTCAAATTGTAAACTTATCACTCCGAGAACAACAAGAATTAGAGTAAAAACAATTAATACATTAGACTCGAAGCAAAGCTCAATTGGGAATGACTGGAATTAAAATAAATACTACTATTTGTAAGTACACGCCGAAAGACCGACAAAGGAAAGTTCGCCATCCTTTGATAAAATTAATGATTCTTCAGAAGATTAATAAAGTAGATGCGTTGCCAGATAGGTATAGTGTGCCTATGTAAAAATGAAATGTAAATATGTAAATAAAATTGTGTATATTATGTTCTTCTTGTGATTGAATTAATCTACGTTAATTAAATTAAATTTGCCTTCACTCGTTTGAAATTCAAAATTCAAATATGTTTTATTCAAGTAGGCATTAAAAATACACTTTTGAATAGTCATATAATCACTGTTTTCTCCAATTTTTTGTTTTCCATGTCCAGGGGTTCTGATTCTACTGAAAAGAATCATGGAAGAAAGTAAGAAACTCAGTAGTTGCTCTTTTCAAAATATTTTTACAATAGTTCTATAATTATGTAAAGCGATAAGTCAAACATAAAATGTCAAATGTATATGTAGATACCAAATCGGTTTAGAAATTTCTAGTTAGTCCTGTGTAGTACGAGAGGTCAGTTCCAAGCATTTTTGTCTGACTTAAATTGAAAAGGTGAAAGATCTAACATTTCTTTTGGAATCTTATTATAAAAGCGTATATCGCTGCTCAAGAACGCATTATATACTTTGTGTAACCGGAAAGCAGGTATTGTGATTTTATTTTTATTTCTACTATTAAAATTGTGCAAGTCACTATT